GTACCGTGTGAGCGATAGAGTACCATCCTCCTAGGCCATGAGCACATGTGCGCAAACTATGCACGGCAGAAATGCCAGAGAGCTGCCCGCCCCTCCCCCAGTCCACTGGCTGACAAGGTATGTCTGTCCACCCTCCCTCCTTTAGGTTTACTGGGATAGGCTTTGATCCACAGGGCCGCTATTGGCACTTACCCCGCCTGCGACTGCAGTGATCCGGAGGTCCTGCAGCAAGATGCCCGAGTTGGCGTGAATTTGATGCATCAACTGGGTCATCTGCCCTTCTTCTGCGTCAGTTGGTGAGAGGGCGACCAGTCAGCCATCCGGGCAGCATCGGAGTTATGGGTGCTGACATCAACCTCCTGTCAACCGACCTCTCGTCCGACGTCTCGATTTAATGATCTTTACCCCCTTAAGGTCGATAAGTACTAAAACAAAAAGCGCGATAAATGCACCGAGACAGTGCACCAATTTTTATTTAATATTTGAATGTGTTGTCACATTTGGTTTTATTGCTCCCCAGTTCTCCCACATCGTAAACAGGTCCGTCAAGTTATCTCAGCTACTGTACCCAGTCTCCTCATTGCCAGACCGCCTGACTCGAGCAAGCCACCGAGGGTGATGTCTGTCAAAGTCGGCTCCGTCTCCTTATGTCTTCACTTTACACGGAAAAAATGAGCTCTGCATTGATTAGTAGGACTGGCAAACAGTTGTTTCTTGACGTTGTGCAGACTGGCGGTGTAACACGTCCCTTCTCAGGACCTAGGGTCAGACTGCATGCCTCATTGTTGATGTGGACCTCGGATTACGCTCGACTGGGTGATATCTCCCTCACCCCCCTCCCCAAGTGGATTCTGGAAGGTGGTGTGCAGTTAGGGAATTGGTAGTGTGTGGAAGGCGTGTATATGATCTGTACGGATGTGCTCAGCCTGATCAGTGAACAGATGAGGTTGATAAGAAAAGTGACCACATAATTGGCTGCTATCAACACGCTTACTAATGCCATGCCTTCATTTCGGCCGCCGCAATTGTGATACAATGAGCTAGTCTGTGAACTGGGTCCTCTAGGTGGAATCATGTGATCGCCACGAGGCACGACCTGCATCGGCTGCGCGCAGACTGGACGCAGCACTGGTGACTTTCGCGGAAATCCGTTTATTGTGAGGCAGACCTGCGTAACATCTACCCCACTCCCTCCCTCCATCGCACACCCACCTGGTTCCGATGGAAAGACAATGTCCAGATGCCCGGAGGTGGGATTGGGCGCAGTGGTGGACAAAGCTGCAAACAGTCCGTCTATGCATTCCCTCACGCGACCTGGTGAAGCATCGAGTGGTGATGGTGTTGGTGATGGATTAGTAGGAGGAGGAGGAGGAGGAGGAGGAGGAGGAGGAGGAGGTTGATGGGAAGGAGGAGTGTTGGTAATTTTTGCAGGTGGGTAGCAGCGTCCTCATTTATGTTGTCGGTAGTGGCGGCGGCGGCGACGGCGACGGTAGTGGTTGTGTATTGTGAAGTCGGTCCGTAACCCGAAAGTCCGCTGACGGTGTGGAAGTGATGGCAGTGTTTGGGGTGCTGACAGTATTTATCCGTATCATTTGAGTGTGTCCGGTCACCCCCCTTGTTTTCGTAGATTGCTAATTCCATCTTGACGGTAATTCGCTACGCCTGTCCATCTTGAGCGACATCCTTCCATGTCTCTGGGTTGATTTTCAGGCAAGGCAGCCTACCGAACTGACTCTTGCGTGCGCACAGTCTCAGATGTGACCGCGCCTTTGTCGGTGGGGCGGTGGGTGGGGCGCCCTGACCACTACCGAATTTCTGCACAGAATATCCGGCCTTTGCTGGTGTCTTCCCCCATCTCACGTCATGCACTTGGTCATATCACAACCGATAGGCCGCAACATACGAAATAGGCTAACCTTCAGCGGATATATGGGTGTGTGTGAAGTATTCATTAAAGACGATGTGAGCGTAACATCGTCGCAGTGCACACAACGTCAACTTCGATGGCGATAGGCAGAACTTTGGTCAAACTGGATGCGGATATCTTCGGTGAGATATGGGGAACATTTGTGCGGACACACATGGAATATGTGGTACAGGCTTGGCGTCCGTTACATCGGGAGGGCATAGCTCATCTTGAAGGTGGTGTGCAAGGACGTGCTAGATAGCTTGTCCCTGAACTCAAATATTTCACGTACGAATAGCGCCTTGCAGTCTTAAACGTCTACCGCCTCCACTATCGACAAGACGTCCGTGAGCATTTACTCACGTTCCAGTCGCTACGGCGACTTGATCTTGATGTGGACTGACAAAATCTATTCGAAATGGCACCGAAGACGAATCTTCGACGCCATGATTGTCAACATGACAGGGAAATGCGCCACAACAATCAACGCCATATGTTGTGACTGACCTGATCTCGCAACGCATCCACTCTTACCCCATGTATATATAGTTCTACGTTTTATGTGAAATTCCCTCCCGCCGCAGTTGATGGGGTTTGGCCTCCTGCTAGTTGTGGACTGTCCTCTATCCCTGTCCTAGTCCCTGCAGGATTTCCACTGGTCGTGTGTGTGTGTGTGTGTGTGTGTGTGTGTGTGTGTGTGTGTGTGTGACACCGAGATCGGGTTTGAGAACTGAGTGTGATGCTTGTCACGGTCAGCTCTAACCCTCGGTTTCCCACATCGAACAGATGGCTTTTGAAATTTAACGTGTCCAAATGCGGGGTTTTGCACCTGAACACCGACCGAAATGCCTCTTCCAAACACCAGTACGGGACGGCGTTAGAAACTATGGAAAGACAGAGATCTGGGTTTATGGACGACCACAAATCTATCGCCATCAGAACACTGTTTAAAGGCAACTGTCCAGAACGCAACTAGTACTCTACACTGGATCAGACGGGCATTTAAAATGTTTCCCCCCGAACTCTTCGAAAGTCTTATTGGTGTCTTTGTAAGACCTCATCTGGAGAATGGAATGCCAGCAGCTGCGCCATGGATATCGACTTACTCGAGCAGGTGCAACGCAGAGCAACAGAGATTGTCGACGGTCTAAACTGTAGTCTACTCTGGACATTCCAGATTGTCCGCGGCCAAGGTTGCTCATTAAGAACGGAGGACGTCTTTGAGTTTACCCGTACAAACCAATTACACGGTCATGCCTACAAAGTCAAGAATGAGCGCACGCGGTTAGACCTTAGAAAGTTTACATTCAGCCAGCGGGTTTTCCGAACGTGGAACTCGATTCCAAGCGAGATGGTGACGGCTGACACAATTTGCATATTTAACAGAAAGCTTGTTCGCCTAATTTTCGACAGAAATGGGCTTTTACTGAATGACTACCCAAATGACTTCTTACAGTGAACTGATGCACTTCCTTATGATTACGATTGAACTGTGACCCGATCACACGGTAAATGCCTGCAATTTTATTTTGAGTGCGAATCTGCGAAAGCACTGCACATAAATAGGGTCATAAATGGCTCTGCCTTTGACCGTCCAATTGTATACATATGCATATGTGACATGGTGCCAACAAAGCCAAGGGAGACCGGAATGGCCATTTCTGGCTTATTAGCCGTCATCAGCCAGTCGATGGTGGAGTGTCAAACTCCATGACCGAAAATCCCGGGTTCGAATCTCAAGTGATCCACACTTGGGGTTGGGTTTGACTGGTTGATGACGGCTAATAAGCCAGAAATGGCCATTCCGGTCTCTCTTGTCTTTGTCGGCTCCATCTCATCTATGTCTACTACTAGTCCCTGTGCGATTGCCTGTGAGGGTTCCAGTATGACCACCAAGGCACAACGGAACGAGCATGTTCCGCAACATGATCGGTGAGCGTCCACTGTCATATACAAACAGGCCCTGTGTGGTGGACGTGGATGCGAATGTGCAAATTCGTTGGCCACTGTAAAAACGCTCACCTCAACCTCCCGCCTGCCCATCTCCCCCCCTCCCCCGTTCGGGTAACCCGTGACCTAGCCATAGTTAGGGCCTCACAGCTACCACCAATGCCTCCTTCATTCCCATGTGCGTACCTCTTCCTACAACTACTTCAGTATGCCATTAACTGACAAAGGTCCTTATCCAAAATTTTAAATCATCACATAGCCAAGATCATAGCCAATTATTATTGGCTGGTGTCCCCAAAGACGTACACCTAACACCAAAGGCACAGTTGCATTTAAATGACAAAGTATTATTTCATTAGTTAAGAACCAACACCCCAAGGACAATCAGAAGAGGTCTGAAGGTGGGTTGCTGTGCGACTGTCTGTGGACGCTCTAGCTCGGAGCTCTGAGCAAAACGGACTCGTACGTATTTCGTCCTGCTTTCAAACAATATCCAGGTGACTTTGCAAATCAGCAGGCCACAGCCAATGAGATAACCTAGCAGAATGCGCATCCTGGCATCGCCTCTTCCAAATCCACTTAAACAACCGTTTCAACCAGCTAACACATCCAAATATTTCGGAAAAATTAGCACCTGTTTCGGTGCATTTAGGGCGCTTTTTATTTTAGTACTAGTCAGCATTAACATAAACAGTGTACAAGGAGTACAGATAGAGATCATTAAATGGCAATGTAAGGTGACACGAGGTTGGTGTCAGCGTCCATAATGTGCGCATTTCGGACAAATGGCCAAATGCGCCACCAGCAGAACTGGCCAATCAAAATGCGGCTGACCGTCGAAATGCAAGTCTGATACTGCCTGGTCGTCTCCTCTGACCAACCAACGCAGGAGATGGGCAATTGGCCCAACTGCTGTATCAAATTCACACCAAGTCTGGCATCCTACAGCAGGGCCTCGGGATCACTCCAGTCGCTACACGAAGCCGGCCTGGAGAACAAGCATTTCTCTCAAGACGTCGTATTCAGTGATGGCGGAGACGAGGGTGGGAGGGAATGAGCAGGATATTCTTGACTCCTAGGCGTCTGGCGCAGATAGCGGATGCCGACGGAAAGGGCCTCCTCGTAGGCACAATACATTTGATTTTTGCGGCGAGCCCTGAGGCCACTTCGGAAGGAGGAAGGAGACGAGCGGTCCTCAGCATCCACGAGGTCCATAGGGATTGAACATGCACGCTCTACAATGATTCCGATAGGAGAAGATGCAGTTGGATTTTTAAAATTGCAAAATGTCCTATATTATCTGGTACAGCATAAATGCAGATAAATGTGCAATTAGTCCTGACGGACAGGGCGCATCGACCTGTAACACTATTTAACTGTGGATGCAATATCAATGAAGCCATGCGCAATATAAAGAGGGCTCTGGATTTTGTCCAACTCCAATGCAGGTCTCTTCTCGTAGGTTCGCGTACCAGGTCGGTCGCGGTTGATGAAAAATGCAATCTTGTGTCCAAATATAGCACGATCTCGTAAAGGTTCAGTCTCGTCTTCGGGGCTCAGTCTGATATTTTTATGTTGATTTAATTCAGGTCTGAGAACTGCCCAAACATCAAAAGATGGTTTTCGTGTCATTCAGCTTGACAGGATGTGTGTAGGGCTGTCCCTCATGTCTTCCTCTTCTTCTCCATGGTACGGCTGCGATCATGCCTGATCTAGTCGGCATCATCGAGGCCTTCTCTGCCTGTCAGTCGCATTTATACAACATCATTCGTTCTTTCGCCTGTGTTGGAGAGAGGGAGCACGATAGATCTCATTTCGCAAGTGTCATTCCAACATTTTCAGCAAATAGGCTTCCATTCACAGTGGATAAATGGGTCACGCAAAGTAGATACGGCGCGTGACCGATCTCATGAAATGTTGGCCGACATTCTGAATGGAATTTTCGGTTAGGAAGGATTACTTAGGTGGGGTTGTAACATCGATTATCATGCGGCATAACGCTATAGTATTTCGGACTCGTCAGGATGTCGCCTTTTGAGTGCACTCCTTTTCGACCTCATGCAGAAACCACAATCAGTAAAAATGACCACTAATTCTGCATGCATTTTTCACATTAATTTTCGTCTGAGCCGATAAATTCAAATATATTTTGTAGAAGAAATGCACAAAATATGCATCATTTACACGTTTGGTCGGTAACCACATTGTGCTCACATTTTATACCCGAAAGTGTGTATTTCAGTTTTGAAAATGTTTCCCAATTCCCGAATCATTTCGAGCCTGATCTTGCCACTGCATTAGCGCTAGTCGTTTGCAGTCTGCAAGGTGTACGCTTTCCGTGTAAGGAAAATCACATACTCCTCTATACCCTTAAGAAGATACTATATGGATTTCATGAAATTCTGCACTGGATGTGGACTATGTTGTACATTTCATGAGGAGCACTGTGAAACTGATGTGTGCCATGCTGAATGAATGGACATCGCCCGGTCTTAGAAATTACGTAATGAAAAACTTTGTTAAAAGCGAAGGATAAAATTGCTTGGGGTATAAAATGTAAAGAGGATGTGACCTTCTACCAAACAACTAAAAGAAAGCATATTTTTGTGCCTTTTCTATATAATGTATTTAAATTTATTTTGTCAGCGAAAATTGATGTGAAAAATTCATACTAACTATGTAGTCATTTTTCAACCAGCGTGGTTTCTTCAGAAGATTGTAAGCAAGTGCATTCAAATGGCGACATTCCGGCGAGTACGAAATTCTATAGCATTATGCTGAATGA